TCCAACAAATCTAAAAAAAAACTATGTTATGTAGAAAAATAACCTGAACAACTTTTGCCCCAGGGTCACATCCAAATTCTTCACCAAATTTAAAATAAAAAATACAATTTAAAAATATATTTTTTATTTTTATTTTCTTGGCCCGGCCGGGCAAGTGACCCCGGGCCACTCTGGTAGCCTAGGAACGGATGTCCTGAAGGACCTTTTTTTTGCCTACAAGTTCTACTTTTTTTTTTTCCCCCCCCCCTCTCTCGACGACGATCTCCACGTCCACAATCATCTTTCTGAGCATGGGTATACCTCGTCGAATGTAGTTGCCTGGGTGCAACGTAGCAATGGTTGGCGCCAGGATGGATGGGTTAATCCTCTTCGATACCCTTTGGATTGGTCCTACGTGGCAATGGTTGGGGGGAGGATGGATCTGGCCTCTGGCCTCACTGTTCCGACCGTCTTCACCCGAATAGAACGCCCGGTCATTATAACTGTATTTGGCACAACTTTCAGCCCAGATACGGCGATAATTACCAGGCGCTCTATTCGGGTGAAGACGGTAGTCATTGGCTTACTGCCACGTGGAAATGGTCGGCAAGATGATTCTGGCCTCAGAGTCTTCGAAAGCACAACACTCGGTGCCACATGGCAAAAAAAATGGAATGGTAGCGGCTTCGCTGGTTGCCAGCTGTCTGATGGATCTGGCCTCTTCGGAAGTAAATTGACTAGGTGCAACGTCATCTTCGGTCGTGGGATTTGCAGGACTACCGTCTTCAAACGTTCGTAACGCAACCTGATTATGAATGCATACAAGCTATCTTTCGGGTCCTGTACAGCCAAAATGAGCATGCGTTGTGCTCGGGGGACGACGGTAACATACGCTATCATTATGTTAGAAAACGTGCTGTAGCAGGCGATGTTAGAAAGCATATGCAAGTTGCGGAATTACCCCACAGTTGGAGCACTTGCCCTCTGCAAAAAAAACTGAATGCATGCATCGGGACGGAGTGTTTGTTGAAATGCATTCATGATCTTGGTGGATGGCCAGTGATGAAATTACACAGTACCTCACAGTTGCAGCACTTATAAACCAATGGATCGTGAAAAATCTTTATTGCTTGCTATTACTCTCTTTTTTACCACTTTTTTTTCCTTACATCCTTCTCCTTTATTTTTGCTTACTCATCATTGACAAATGGCACTAAGTCTGTGCCTCTGCCAAAACCCTGAATGCATCTGGACAGAGTGTTTCCTGAAATGCAGTCATGATCTTGGTGGATGGCCAGTGATGAAACTACACAGCAACTTGTCGATCAGCGGGTTCCCAGCGACGCTGGGTGTCGCTCCACTCACAGGTATGATGCACAAACACAAGTGCGGTTGCGGTGCATATTTCCATGCTCTACAGGAATATTCATTCTCCTGTGCCAGTTGTTCTTTCTTTTTTTTTTTTTTTTTTTTTTTTTTTTTTTTAAACCTGTGTTCTTCTCTCAATTTCACCTCACACTACCTACCTACCGCTACTCCTAATTGTAGGCATACGGGGAGCCAGTTGTTCTTTTTTTGGCGAGTACTGGGGCGAGGCCCACATCCGGTAGATTCATTTTATTTCTTTTCCCAAACCGCTAAATTCTTTTTGGGTTGCCGATTTGGAAGATTCTGCAGCCGCTAGTAGCTACAGTTAATACGAATAAAGCTAGGCTACCAGCCGGGCCGCCCGGGTCCCGGGTGGCCAGCCCGTGCAAGGACCAGGGAAGGTCCCAGCAAAAAAAAAAAAAAAAAAAAAAAAAAAAAAAAATCCACCCAAAAAACTATGTTATGCAGAAAAATAAACTGAGCAACTTTTGCCTCAGGGTCACATCGAAATTCTTCACCAAATTCAAAATAAAAAATACATTTTATAACTAATTTTATTATTTTTATTTTTTGTAATGTTTTTGGCCCGGCCGGGCAAGTGACCCCGGGACACTGTGGTAGCTCAGGAATAAAGCGAATAATTGACCCATTTTTGTTATCTAGATAAATAGATGAACAGAAAGACTAAAAAGTTCGAATTGACAGCAAGGAACATTAACTCAATTGACATTAACATAAATAAGGATATTCTTTCTATTTGCAAGGAACATGAGTATGGACGAAGCACAGAAATCCAGAATGCAAAATCACACTGAAGTCCAAGTAGTCAAAGCCAAAGCAGATAGCACATGGAACCGAGTAACCATCCAATTGAGAATGATACAGAAGAATCGTGAGTCAATGTCCAGGCCCAACAGGGCAACACCAACAGCATRACCCAAATGTAGCTCTCTCTTGTGAATGGCGCCAGRCGCCCTATCTACTCTACAGCCTATCCTACAACTACAGCAATGAAAAGCAACTAGACAACTTGACTACCAGCGAGTGATGATGTCAACACCAATGCCGATCTCCACCATCACCAGGTACGTGTCCTTTTCCCCACACTCTCCCTTGTTACCCACACAGCGCCCTTCACCTCCGAAGTATCACCTTCGCCCTCACCTCCCCTGCACCCTCATGCGGCCCAGGCTATGGCCGCCAGTGCCCTCAATGCAGGCAGCGCCCTACCGCCTAACGCTGGCCTGCTTGCTCTTAGCGCAGCACTGCCTTGCACAGCGCAGCACACATGCATCCGCGCAGCGTGCCCGCAAGTGCCAGCATTGGCCAAGATCCCTGCTGCCTCGCCCTGCTTGCCTATATGCCAGTGCAGCGTGTGGGCGGCCTCCCTTCAGCCTGTGACCGGGGCCCAGAGGCTGAAGCCAACCCGATACAGTTGGGCCCCGGGGCAATSCAGTTGYGCCTCCTTCATCAAGGCCTGCGGCCAGATTCAGACAGTGGRCCGATTCCCCTTTGGCATTTTCGGCCTCTCTACCCAGCGTGCATTGTYGGCCTCACATTCAAGTGCCCAGGGCCTAACTAACTCAGAGGCCCTGGGCATTTCAGCATTTGCTGAAATCCGAGACTCGGTGCACTCCAACCAACAGGCGTGCTGCAACTGTATAGACCCCACTTCGTGAATGTTGGCATAGAGGGCTCTTGTTGATTTGCTGGCCCGCCTTCACTTAGGGCGGGCACTAGGCTTGCTGGGGCCTTAGCCCAGAACATGTACATCATGGCAAAGCCCCTACTTGAGGGCTCAATCCTCACATTCCATCCCCCTTAGCTTCGAAAGTCCGCTGAGATGCTTACTTCGCAGGTGCCTTCCCTTTTAGCTTCCGTTCATAATCTGCCACGACATGAGGAGCTGTTTCCATCAGTTCCTCCCGGGTAAACCACCGATCTTCTTTAGGATCCGTATGATGCCTGAATCTGATCCAGTACTCCCTCTTGGGTTTAGGAGGTCTTCCTTGACCCAGCGGCTTCGGAACAGGCATATCCCTGTGATCCACAATATCGTCGATGTCGACTTGTCTATCCATGGTTGGGGGCAACATCGATCTCCTGGAAGGGAATTGATCAGTCTCAGCGAAAGGTGCAAGCTTTGAGGCATGAAAGACTGGGTGAATGCGGAAGTGTCCAGGGACACGAATGACATATGTGGGACCATCCAACTCATCTCCCACTACATCCAAGACTTCCCAGGGACCAAAGTACTGAGGCATTAGTTTGCGAGATATCCCGAATTCCTGTCTTAACTCACTAGCCTTGACCCAGACACGTTCCCCTACCTGAAATGTGGACTGTCTGCGATGTTGATTCTCAGAAGCTATCATCGCTTGCTGAGCCTTCTTTATATGTTCTACAGCCTCTTGCAGCAACTTCTCATATTGCACACCGTATTCAAGTGTGCCTGGAGTTGCAGCAGGTCGATTTTCAGGTAGGAGGAAGTCTTATGCTGATCTAGGCTTCCATCCTAAGTGCGGCTGGTTAGGACTGACGCCGGTACTACTATGTATAGCATTGTTGTACAGGCTGGCGATGAGAGCTAACTGCTCATCCCAGTCATCCTGGTTGGGCTTGATGTAGTGCCTCAGCAAGTGCTGTACAACTCTATTCATTTGTTCGGCTTGTCCGTTGGCTTCGGGATGATTCCCTGAAGTCATCTGAATTTGACTGCCCATCTGTTCTGCAGTCTTCTTCCACAGCTCGCTGGTGAATCGGACGTCTCGGTCACTAATGATGGTCTTTGGTAAACCAAAGTCCCTTACCCAGTTGTCCTTGAACAACTTGATGACGTGTTCCGTCCTGGGTGTCTTTGGCATTGATACTAGTCTAGCGTACTTGGTGAATCTATCAATGATGACGAAAATGTGCCTCTTACCACTCTTGCTGGTCACAAGAGTGTCCATGAAATGCATGGAAACACTCAATCTTGGACCATCAGGAATAGGTAAAGGCTTCAATAACCCAAGCGGTGCTTGAGTTCGCGGCTTGTCCCGCCGACAGACCTGACATGTCTCAACATACTTCTTTGCGTCATCTAACATTCTGGGCCACCAAAATCGCTGTACTAAGTTAACACTCGTCTTCTTGTAGCCAAAGTGCCCAGTTGCGTCATGACATTCGCCTAAAAATAAACTACGCAACTGTTCACTAGATGGAACTATCAATCTCTTTACTCCGGCCTTATCAAGATAGATTAGCCCATCCACCATCATAAACTCACTTTTTGTGGCCTTGTCTTTTGCCCGAAGTTTGCGGATGATGTCCATCGTGACAGGGTCTTCCTGATAGGCTCCCACCAATGATTGAGTTACTTCATTAGATACGCCAAGTCAGAAACCAGCGCACCTAGGTAGTCTGCTCTACGGGATAGCGCATCTGCAACCTTGTTGTACTCTCCCTTCACATACTCAAGCTTGAAGTCATATTGGTCTATGACCTCAATCCATCGCTTGAGTGCATCAGAAAGAACCGGTTGAGTCTTGATCCATTTGAGGGTCTGATGATCAGTCCTCAGATAGAAGAACCTTCCCAAAAGGAAGTGTCTCCAATGGACAAGTGCTTTGTAGAGAGCATAGAGTTCCCTTTCGTAGGTGGACTTAGCCAAGTTCTTCGATGGCATCTTCTTACTCATGTACTCAATCGGTCTCAACTTTTTCCCATCCTGTTGAGCCAGCACTGCGCCAATGCCGTATTGGCTTGCGTCAGTGGTCACTATGAATGGCTTCTGCGGATCGGGAACCATGAGGACCTCATGATTCATGAGTGCATGCTTCAATCTCTTGAAAGCATCCTCGCACTCATCACTCCAGTCCCACGGCGTGTCAAGTCGAGTTAGATCTGTCAAAGGAGAGGCGACTGTACAATAGTTCTTTACGAAGTTCCTATAGTAGCCGCACATTCCTAAGAAAGATCTGACCTCAGTGACAGTCTGAGGTCGTGGCCAGTCTCGAATACTAGCCACCTTCGCATCTTCCGGCCTAATCCCTTCCGCGGATACTTCGTGACCCAAGTATATTATCTTAGTTCGACCGAATTCACACTTCTCTAAGTTGACCTTATACTTGTGCTGTCGTAGGAGTGAGAGAACTGTCTCAACGTGCTTTGCGTGCTCCTTGACAGACTTACTAAAGATCAGAATGTCGTCTAGGTAGACCACGACAAACTGATCTAAATGGTCATGGAAGATCCGATTTATAGCGTGCTGGAATGTACCCGGCGCATTACAAAGACCAAAAGGCATCACTACAAACTCATATAGACCATAACGAGTCTGAAAAGTTGTCTTGTGTTGGTCCTCAGGTCTTATTGCGATCTGGTGATATCCGGATTTCAAGTCTATCTTTGTATAGTACTTGCATCCCTGCACCCTATCCAATAGGTCGTCTATGCGAGGTAGAGGCTCTGCGTTTTTCACTGTGATGGCATTGAGGCCCCTATAATCAATGCACATCCTCAAAGTACCCCCCTTCTTTGGTACGAATAGTACAGGTGATCCGTAAGGAGAAGTACTAGGCCGAATCCATCCCTTCTCTGTCAGCTCCTTGAGTTGCTTCCGAAGTTCATCTAACTCGGCAGGGGCCATCTTATGGATCCTTCCCTTTGGGGTCTTACTCCCTGAAATGATTTCTATAGCGTGGACGACTTCCCTATCAACAACTCCTGAGGGCTCCTCGAACAGATCAGGGAACTTAGCAGCGACGCGTTCTATCTCTTGGGGTGTTTTAACGCCCACCCCCTTCTCAGAGACATAAACAAGGTATATACCCTCCTCTTCGTTTTGCTTGTAGTAGTTGTAGAACGTTGATGCGCACAAGCAGCCATAGGTATCTACTATACTGCTGGCCTTGAACTTCGTCAGTCTGACAGTTCGGCCATCGGGCAACTTATGTTTGAGCACTTTCTTATCCCAGTAAAACTGGGGCTCAGCAACTTCGAGGTAGTACATGCCTAACATCATATCGAATGGCAAGTCGTCGCTAACCAAGAACGAGATCTTATGGTTAAGCTCACCTCCTCCATAGGAGAAGGTACAGACTACGTCCTTGATGTAGTCTGTTACAATCATGCGCTTCTTGTTGGCCAAAGTAGATGCTACAGGTCTACTAAGGTGCCGTACCCGGTCCTGTAGGTGCAGCCTTTTCCAAACAGTCGCGACTTATATAATTCCGTGTGGAGCCAATGTTTATGAAGGCACCACATTTGCGGCCTCCTACATCGACTTCCACAACGAAATGTTCCCCTCTATGACCTTTTCTTAGTGCCACCCAAGACTCGCGAGGGTCTTGTTTGACCACTCACTCTCTAAGTCCTCTAAGGCTTCAGACACATCTAACGTACAAAGCATAGTTTGGTCTAGTTGTGTTTGCGGGGTGACTAAGGGGTCATTAGCCTTGGCGTTGTCATGAAGTAGGGAGGGTACCATTCCTTCTTCATCTTGAGTAGAAGCAGCTACTACTTCCACTGGCCTCACGTGTTTCCCGAGGTAGAAGCCTGGGAATAAGTTGCCCCCACTTTTGGCGCAACCTTTTGCGTAACCTTAGCGTTCTGACACTTCCACTGCGTGTGTCCGTATTCCCCGCAGTTGATACAAGCGCCACGCGAACGGCGGTCACGCCACACGTCTTGATCAAGACCTTCCGTAGTCCACTTAGCCTGTTTGGTCTGATTGGAGGCGGTCTTCCATTGACCCCTAGGCTGACCCTTTCCTCGGCCTGCCGCCTTAGTCTTCACTACCGCGGCGAGGGTGCTACCCTCAGTTACCTCCTCCCCGTCATACTCTGAGTAGTCCATCAGGTCAGAGAGCTCATCGATTTCAGTTTGAGTCTCATCAGACTCAACCATCATCAACTTCGCCCCCTTCTTCTTCCACTCCTGAGGACTCTTCTTCTTCTTTGAGTCATTCTGTGAGGTGGGTTGAGCATTGCCTAGTGTTGCCTCCAAATCTAAGGCCTTCCTAGACAATGTCTCAAATGAGTGGTACTCGGTGCGTGCCTCACTGGCTAGTAAGTTCCTGATGTTCTCAGGGAGACATCTAACAAACATTGTTAACAGGAACTGGTCGCTGTAGTTGATACCTGGGACGAGGATCAGACTCTCAACGGTAGTCGTAAGCTCCCTAACTGACCTGAACTTGCATTGGTCCCGTTTGTTAATGGCATCAATGGCCTTTTGTGTCTCCTGTGGATTATGCCATCGAGCTTCTACCATATCCATGAACTGATCTAACGTCAAGGACTTAGCCCAGTCCGCCATGCGTCTCGCGTACTCGGCCTTTACAACTACTCCATCTAGCCACTTGGCTGCCTTACCCTCTAGGTAAGATGCCGCAGTTACCACCTCATCCTCTGGCAAGGTCCTCTTGGCCTTCACCCAAACCGGGACGGTTCTCAACCATGTGTTGAGTTCCTCGTCCTTTCTTTCGCCTGAGAAGGCAAGAGGCGGTTTCATTGGGGTCTTTGGATACCATTGACCTTGCGGCTGTCCACTTTGTTGAACAGGTTGTTGTGGTGGTGTAGCAACCACCACTGGACCCGAAGAAGAAGACGCAACAGTCTGTGAGACTGCTGCAGACGTACCACTTGGATGTGTGCCAGCTTGTACGGGAAAGGGACCTGACATCGTTGTTAACGGCAACGGCGATTGTGCTGGTGGCCGGAATCCTGGCCTTGTCAAAGCGTCCAAGATCTGGTCTAAAGTGTTCTGCATGAAGTCCAACCTGCTGTCCACATGCGCATGCAGTGACAGCATGTTGTTCCTCAACACTTTCATGGGCTCATTCATTCCTGAATCGTCCAAGCCCTCCAACTCAGCCTTGTCAGTCACTAGCGTATCAAGCCTGGCTGTTCTATTTTTGATCTCCTTTTCTCTGTCGGTAGCCTGTTTCAGTTCCCTCTCTAATCTTTCACGGATCCTTTCGACTTGTTGAAGCTCCCTGAGCTCCCTCTCGCGAGGAGTCAACGGGCTGAACTGCACGCCCGTCATTTGACTTGTAGACGACCTAGACCCTAGTGAAGTGGAGATACCCGGGGACCCCGTTGGCATTCCCAACTGGGTTCCTGACGAGGACGCAGCCGAAGTTGCAGCAGAGGTTGCTGCTGCGATAGCCATTGCTGTTGCCGTGACTGATGCGGCAGCTTGCTCCCTAGCTGCAAGGTTTGCTGCTTCTCTCGATGCTGCGAGAGCACGGGCTCTACGTTCGGCACAAAGCCGTCTTTCTTCTCCCTCCTCTAGAGTCCTGAACACGTACGGGATCCTTCTTGATCTTGCACGTGTAAGTCTACTATCGTCAACTCCCTCCTCGTCGACGTCTGACCCGTTCATGAATTAGGCAAACATTGTCTGCACTAGAACTCCCTAATGGAATCCTACCACAGCATGTGTCTGACCGACACCTAATTTTCTAATAATGGTTGTGTCCGGCAGTTCCCTTACTATACCGATCAAGTGGCATGTCTACAACATTCACACAGATTGTCTACATAGTCTAAATGCACTTTGACTTGTTCACTTACAGTAGCATTAGTTAGAACTAACTATGGTCGCATACAACAGTCCTACACTAATCTGTCTGTGAGGTGTTAGCAGTCTGTCCACCAACTAATCAAAGGTAGAAAAGACAATATAGCAGATGTATGATTGATGGGTATGGTTGTGTATACAGTTGAGCACCAATTAGAACCTACCCGCCCCTCAATCCAACCATCCGAACAGCATCATTGAGCAGGCAGTGTCTTCGTGTGTATTTCGGCCCACCCCTGTGCCCAAGTTGTCACCGAGCAAGCCAGCCCAACCACTCTTATTTACCCTCGTACGGCGACGAGCCTTCCTGTCCATGTGATCTGGCTGATCAGGAGGAATTTATACAGCGCCCCCATCTCTGCAGGAATTATTTAACGTCGCAGTCAGGACGACGATCACAACCAGATTCACAATGAACTCCCAACCAGAAATATTTATAGACGGTCTGGTGAGCGTCTGTCATGGGCTGGCACACCCGGAGGAACTTCTATCAGCGCAGCAAGTTCCAAACAGGACAGCAGCCATCGCATGCGTGCACTACTCCCTGTGGGTTGGCATGGTGACCGTGACCCAAGTGCTTCGACCAGGGCCCTTCAGAGGCACCGCCCTTTCTCCTTCCAGATTGCTTCCGGGAAGTTTGTCGTCTCTCAAGGTAGCGCGCTCACGACACCACACCAAAAGAGAGGACTCTCAAGTTGGACTCACTTCCTCACGGTAAGAAGAGATTGAGAGAGTAGATAAGGTAAGGGATCAACATACCTGGAGATAGCTGCCCCCAACCACAGATTTCTCACCAATTGAGCTGATGTTGCATTTCCGCTGTATCCCACGGCATATTCTGCCGTACAAGCCTTCCGGCGCACCCCTCTCTACCCAGGGCGTCCGCCTAACATTGGCCTGACGTCACAAGTACCCACTGCGAAGAAGCATCGTCAACGCACCAAGTCTGTATAACGCCAGCATGCCGAAGGTAAGTGGCGATCAAACCAGCTCCGATACCAAATTGCAAGGAACATGAGTATGGACGAAGCACAGAAATCCAGAATGCAAAATCACACTAAAGTCCAAGTAGTCAAAGCCAAAGCAGATAGCACATGGAACCAAGTAACCATCCAATTGAGAATGATAMAGAAGAATCGTGAGTCAATGTCCAGGCCCAACAGGGCAACACCAACAGCATAACCCAAATGTAGCTCTCTCTTGTGAATGGCGCCAGGCGCCCTATCTACTCTACAGCCTATCCTACAACTACAGCAATGAAAAGCAACTAGACAACTTGACTACCAGCGAGTGATGATGTCAACACCAATGCCGATCTCCACCATCACCAGGTACGTGTCCTTTTCCCCACACTCTCCCTTGTTACCCACACAGCGCCCTTCACCTCCGAAGTATCACCTTCGCCCTCACCTCCCCTGCACCCTCATGCGGCCCAGGCTATGGCCGCCAGTGCCCTCAATGCAGGCAGCGCCCTACCGCCTAACGCTGGCCTGCTTGCTCTTAGCGCAGCACTGCCTTGCACAGCGCAGCACACATGCATCCGCGCAGCGTGCCCGCAAGTGCCAGCATTGGCCAAGATCCCTGCTGCCTCGCCCTGCTTGCCTATATGCCAGTGCAGCGTGTGGGCGGCCTCCCTTCAGCCTGTGACCGGGGCCCAGAGGCTGAAGCCAACCCGATACAGTTGGGCCCCGGGGCAATSCAGTTGYGCCTCCTTCATCAAGGCCTGCGGCCAGATTCAGACAGTGGRCCGATTCCCCTTTGGCATTTTCGGCCTCTCTACCCAGCGTGCATTGTYGGCCTCACATTCAAGTGCCCAGGGCCTAACTAACTCAGAGGCCCTGGGCATTTCAGCATTTGCTGAAATCCGAGACTCGGTGCACTCCAACCAACAGGCGTGATGCAACTGTATAGACCCCACTTCGTGAAATGTTGGCATAGAGGGCTCTTGTTGATTTGCTGGCCCGCCTTCACTTAGGGCGGGCACTAGGCTTGCTGGGGTCTTAGCCCAGAACATGTACATCATGGCAAGGCGCCTACTTGAGGGCTCAATCCTCACATATTTCAAAAGATTCCCCAAATACCTAAAAGAAAAGGAATCATTGAAAATGTTAAACATTTCACTAAATCTATTCAGCCAGTACTTTTGGGGCGAATACGACCAAATCGCAACCCATAAAAAAATCTAGCAGTTCAAAAAAAAATGAAAAAAATCTACCGGATGTGGCCACATCTCCATGCTTCCGTACAAAGTGGGCTCGCTCCAAACCCTAAACCAAAAGAACAACAGGCACAGGAGAACGAATGTTCCACAAGAGCAAGGAAATGTACCGCCTGGATTTGGAAATCAATAATCTCGCGGGCAGCAGCCGTGCTTCGCAAGGAACAGCTTGCAAGGAACATCCCGCCTGTATGTCCTCCTCCAGTGGATGGATGATGCACCTCCTCATGTTGCTGGCAGTGCTGCTTCTGATGATGATGATGATGATAATGATGATGATGATGATGATGAACTTGATGATGATGATGATGCACATGAAACGAACGCCGTGACGATGAGGATATCATGACGATGACGAAGATGGTCATAACGATGATGATGATGATGATGATGATGATGATGATGATGATGATGATGATGATTAATACAACAGGGGAAGACGATACTTCCCGCTCCCCTCCCCCATACTGATGATGATGGTGATGAGGATAACGAAGTGAGGGCCCTTGTCGCAAGTGTTGTCCATATTTGTTGAAATGAAGTGCGCACTTGTGCACTGCACCTTGGAAGGATGGTGGTGCACAGAGCAGAGGCGGAAAAAAAAAAAAAAAAAAAAAGGAAAACAAAAAACCAAGCACACCACACCTTGAAGGTCCATACCCTACCTTTCGTGAAACAGACTCGGACGACTTTGAAGGTCGAGAGTCCATCCAGAACTCGGAACTTCACACCTGACATTGCGAGGGGAAGATAACACGTAAGGCTGTTTGGTGTATTTTTTTATTTAGCAATATAGAGTAGAATGCAATAGTTGGGTCTTAGTTTGCTCTGAAGCATGACCCTCTTTCCTTAATTTGGTCCTCTTTTCACGGGGGGACGGGTTCTGCTTGCTTGTAGAAGTGGGAGACCTCGTGGCTATTGCATCAAACTGTATGTGTTTCTTTTTTTTTTTTTCTTTTTTTTTTTTTTCAACTGTATGTGTTTCTCATGTAGTATGTCGTGGGCACTGGGCCCAAAGAAAAAATTGTGAGTGGGAAAAAAAAAAAAAAAAAAAACAGGAAATCCGAAATGCCGGAGAAGAAGGTTTGTTGCACAACATTGCAACAGAAACAACCACAGGCGAGCATTTTTTTTTCTTTTTTTTTTTTTTTCTTTCAGCCTTTCAGGCGAGCATTTTTTGTTTTGCCTCCCTTGCCCAATCATTATAATTCTTTTCACCTCACCTCACCTCACCTCCACCCAGCCTGCCCAGTTGTTTTTCAAATTTCCCCCCAACACCGGGAGAAAAGGCTCATGCAGACCCGCTGCACTAGCGACTGCACCCGGACCCTCCGCACCCATGACTTAAACCACCAGTACCTTTCCCCCCTTGGGATGGTGGGTGCGGCAGTGCCCACAGAGGCCTGAGTCAGACTCCCTCGACGACTACATCCATCGGCCGCGCTAGGCGCACAGCACCCGCGGCCAATATATGAGAAAGGTACTGGCGGTTTAATTAATCCTGCACTCGGACAAGCCCACACCTGCCCACGCTCAGCGACACCTGCCCAGACACCGTTGTTGCACACATGGTAACCTCAATCATGTTGGTGGTATGTGGTGGTGGCGGCCGGGGGGCCTTGGCCAGGGTGCCCTGGGTCTGTGTGGGTCGGGTGACCCACACAAAGGCCTGACCCGCCCAACAGCCACCCAGGCCTATGCCTTGGTTACACAACACCCAGTCATCGGGTGATCCAGACCAAAGCCATATGCCCATCACCGAGCCAGGCCGGCTTAGCTAGACCCAGCCATGACCCACCTAGGCCGGCTCAGCTACACCCGGACCTGACCCATCGCCCTGTGGGGCGGGAGGGTGCAGGTGCGTTTGGGTGTGGGCACACGCTGCTCACTTCTGCAAACAACTCTTGACTGAGGGTCATGTCGAAATTCACAACAAAATTCGAGGAGAAATCAAAAGCGAGAAATGTATGTATATATCGTCAAACAGAGCTGCCTGGTAAACCGTAGGCAGAGAGGGAGAAGAGGACAACAAACGAGGGGCTGTAATATATACGACAGTCTGTAGAGTTTTCCATCTGGTGTGGGTGA